TGTACGTGAGAAAATACAGCAAGGATTGGTGGCTACAGGGTATGTGAAGACTGGAGATCAGCTAGGAGATATGTTTACTAAAGCATTGAATGGAGCACGAATAGATTATTTGTCTAACAAGTTGGGCATGATTAACATATATGCATCAACTTGAGGGGGAGTGTTAGAGTATAGATATTAGTATATTTTATATTCTTATAAAGTCCTTCAGTCCTTTTGGTTTAAAACTCGGGAATTCTAAACCAATAAACAACCATGACTTCACACACATGACCAATTGTACATATCCAACAGAGGCAGTAACAAACTGCATGTTACTCAAGTCCTTTTGGTCCACTCAACAAAAACAGCATTTCAACCTATGGACTCCCGTAGACCTCTGACTCTCTCTCCAGGGTGAAGAATGTGAAGATGCTGATTACCTACATATGTGCTCTTTCTCATGTTATTTGTGGTGGAGACTCTTTGGTCTTTTTAGTATCCAAATTACTTTTGACGAAAGGTGATTTTTGTGGGCCAGCAATACCATGCCCAAATTTGATCTGAACTTTTAGCTTCATTTTTCAAGATTCTTATATTATTACTAGTATCAACTACCTACAAGAGAGCAAAAAAAACCATTCAGCCACAAACTGCATGTTACTCAATTCCAGAGTATGGTTCAATACTCTTTCTATAGAGCTTTGAATTCTAATTGGCGTCTCTCTCAAACCTCTTTTATTATTATGATTTTCCTTGTATTTAAACCAATGAAGGGGACTAACATTCTTTTTCTAGCCTGCATGAAGGAGAGACTAACATTCTCCTTCATTGCCTCCAACCACACATAGGTTTATCCCCAAGATAATTTACTTAGTCGAGTGAACTAAGAAGCTCATCTTTTAATTTTGGATTCCAAGTTCTAATAAAGTGAGATATAATTACCCCTGCCATCTTCATAAACATTAAAAAAATAAAATAACTCTGATTGCAAGAAAAATAAAAATAGCTGACCTTTTTATTTTGGATTCCAAGTTATATTTAAGGGAGATATAATTACCCCTGCCATCTTCATAAAGATTAAAAAATATATAAAATAACTCTGATTGCTAGAAAACTAACATAACATTTTATTCAGGTATTGATACACAGTGAAGCCATCCCTATGCTAGATTCAATTTCTAATACTTATGCCGCTTGCATATCCCCTCATTGCTTGCAAAGCCATCAATTTATTGCTAAGCACTGTTAATTCTAGTTTCTAGAGCCTCAATTCTAAAGATCATGTAGTGATTTAGGTAGAAGACCATCCTATGGCGACCAATTTTTGCACATCTTGTTCGAGATACACAGGTAGAAAAGAAAAGGAAAAAAGGACAAGCAATTGTATTATCAAAAAAACCAAAATACAAACAACAGGGCAAAGAATCCACCCAAATCATATGAGGAGTACAAAAAAGGAACCCACCCCGCGTGAATAATGGTAGCATTATATTTATGATGAAGAAATACTTAAGAACCAAAAACTCCAAAACTTTTACGAGATCAAAACCTCAGTATTTGCTCCAATGTCAGTCGCCCCTCGTTTTGCTGCATCTTAGATTGAACAGACCCGTAACACCTATCCATAACTAGATACAAGGAGCCATCCATTTCCATTGCCCCATGAAATGTACAAACATTCCTACACCACATCGATGCCCGCCGCAAACTCTCAAGTTGCTCAAGCACCCAA